CAGTCCTGAAAATTGTTTTTTTTTTTTTTTTTTTTTTTTGGTGCTAAATAATTATTAGAATGGCATTTTGGTCCGCCTTTTGAATGCCCAGACACAGCGTTACTTATAATACAGTTACCATACAATACTTTACGCTGTGACATAACTGTAACGTCTAGTGCCGGCCTTTGGTATAGGTGGCTGCTTAGAGCGTCATTTTTTTTTTTTAATTAACGCACTTGCGAACGTTATTAAAAAGAGTCTCATTTAGCGCAGTTATCGAGAATTTTATTTTATCTTCCCTTGAAAAACGGGAAAAACTTTTTTTGGGGCTTGGAACTGAAAATTTCATAGAATGTGTTGTCATCGGCAACAAGTCTATGAGCCATTTTCAGCTCGGTTGATGGGAGGTGGGGAAATTAGCCGTCCGAATACTTTGCCAGCCAGCCACCCACGAACAAAAGCGAAGTTAATATGAGGATGTCTGCCGTTTTACAGTATACTTAACTTCATCTGATGAAGTTTTCATTATTTATCATATTAATTTTGTGGAAATAATTTTTTTTTAATACTCTTAACTAGTAGTATATAAAATGAAAATATGTGAATGTTTTACCGTAAAGCTTTATTCGTGTAAAGCACATGTGTCAAACTCAAGGCCCGTGGGCCACATCTGGCCCGTGGGCCACATCTGGCCCACCGAAAAATTATGTCATGCCCACGAGGTCTTGACTGGCATACAATTAAATCCAAGTCAACGCTACGATGTTTCCCAATGCCCACTTTGCTGAAAATCTTAGCTTACTTCGCGCCGAGTTGGCAAGGAGCTTTAGTGACTTTTGAGCTATATGGTAACCCATTTGTCAAAGATGTGGAAACTGCACCTGTACATTTGCAGATGGAGCAAATAGAGCTGCAGTATAATGGGACAATAAAGGCAAAGTAAGACACAGTTTGGCCTACACAGTTCACTCGTTTCATTTCCGAAGAGATGCCCCAGTTTCGTCTACATGCGGATAGAACCTTGAGCCTGTTGGGTAGCACATAGATGTGTGAGCAGCTGTTTTCTGTGATGAAGGTTAACAAAAAATCACACTGGAGTCGCCTCACGGATGAACACAAGCAGTCCATCATGAGAATATCAATCACTCAGAACGTTACTCGCAACGAAATTAATTGTTTTTGTAGCCAAGAAAAGTGCCAAACATTCAGCTCTGACAAACTGGCATAAGATGATTTTTTATTATTGAAACGTTTTTCTGTTTTCATTTATAATTTATATATATGTTTTATAAAAAAATATTTAATTTTTATATTGAATGTTTATCCTGTTCAGCCCGCAACCTTACATGTGATTTGAGTTTTGGCCCGCCGAGCGATTGAGTTTGACACCCCTGGTGTAAAGGGTCAATTTTAGAACAATTGGCTCATTGAGACCGGGTGGTTGGAATTGGTGCAAACCACTCCCTTGGGGCCATGGAAAGGTTGCGTTAAAAACTTTAGTGCAACTGATGTTATGCGGCCCTGGAAGGCACTTAAAAATAAAAATACTTTGTTTTTAAGTTATTTTTTTTAATTTTACAGAATTGCATGTAACGTTATGATTTTTAAAACTTTTCGATCAAATTTCTTTCTAAATTTCTTTTTTTTTAAACATTCCTTGACTTTTGTCATGGGATGCTAAAATGCGAATTTACCGATTTTAATATAAAGAAATGTTTATCGACATATAAAAATTGGACATAATATACATGCGCCCCACCCCCCCCCATAGCTTTACATTTGTCAATGTGGCCCTCCCCACAAAAAGTTTGCCGAGCCCTGTTTTAGAGCAATGCGTTGTTAATACTAATACTTAGGCTATCTGCCAATGTGCTTGCATAAGACCATTTCTCATCCTTAAGAAATAAATTGGAATACCCTATCATGTATATTTATTTGCGTTAACTTACATAAACAGTTGAGTGGATTTCCTTAGACAACTTTTATTTTGATTACAAACCAGCCCCCCCCCCCCTTACCAAGCTTGAAACTACGTTTTAGAGAGCAAAAAAACTCTAATCTGACTCGAACCCAGGGTAAACAGGTCTGCAGACTTATTAGTATGAGTTCCTTTCAAAGCAAACAATAGCCTATATCCGAATTCTGGTGGAGTCCTCAACAAAAACACCCAATACCTATGATCTTTTCTAGTTCTAGCTTTTAAAATATTAAAAATCAGACAAAATTTTCTTTATTGTAATTGTAATTCTTAAACAAGCAAGCACCATACTTATACCATGTTGAACGTTTTTAAAGACTTTCCACGACTGGTCTTGAAGCATCCACATTCGGAGTGTTTTAAAAATAAAATATAAAGCCTATTTCGACATCGGGACCAGTAGTAAAAATGCCCCCGTCCTATCCAAAATGACGCCCACGGTTAATTGCATTATTTGTGACCGAATTCCATGTAGGCTACGATCGAATTATCGAATGGATGGGGAAAAAAATGTGAAGGAACGCACCCAATATCCCCATCCATACCCACTTTTTCTCCCAACATAAATTGTATTTATTATTTATCACACAAAAAATGACAAGAAAACAGTTCACATGCGTTTCGGTAGGACTCAAACCCTGCTTATTCTATGAGGGGACTGCTCCTCTGAAAATACCCGAAACATTGTACCCGTAGTGCGGTTCGGAATTTGATAGTAGTACACCAACTAACATTAAACTTCCAGACGCTCTTTAAAACAATAAGGTAAAAAAAAATACTTTTAAGATTTAGTATTCAGAACTGGAGAATATATTACATGTACTTATTTAATTAGTGCAAATGCTGGATTATTATTTAAAATAATGTATTTTTTCTAGCTGAGTTAATTCTGTATAGCATCATATTTATTTAAATAAAATAATTAATCCGTATCACTCACTGCCTCACAAAGAAATCGATTAACTGTAAGAAGTGAAAAACTCAACGCAAAAAATCCTGGCAATATATTATTCGCGCGAAGTGGTGACCGAGGTAAACAAGAAGTTGCTCGCTTAGCTCAAGACTGAACATATTATATATTACCTACCATGTGTTGTTCAAAATTTTTATGTTTAAAAAATAGTATTTAATATACATTTTTAAAAGCAAGTACATGAATTTTGACTTGCAGTTGGGTTTAAAACTAGCCTCTCTAGATTAAGATTGTGTAGTGTTGCACACTGACTGCCTCGGCTGAGTCTGATCCACCCACTTACTCGAATTACACAAGAACTTGTAACTTGAAGTAACTTGTGTAGTTGTACTAGTTCTACTACCACACAGGAGTACTAGGTGGTCACCCTTCTTTCAGCTTGTGCTAGGCGTGTTAGACTAGCATTAGTAAGGCCTAAGTACAGAGTCAGGCTATGTGAAATGAAACAAGAAATATCAATGAACTCAAGTCCAATATAATAATATTATAATAGGCGCCCTTGATCAGATTGATACAAGCCAACCGTTTTTGTTTGTAATGAGAGATGACAGTGAGCTCTACTTATCAGTAGCTTAATGCTTTCCTTTATAGGCCAAGGCTGTTTAGTGTGTGTACTGACTTTCTGGCTGTTTTTTAAAATCCCATCTGTTTTGTTTAAATTGATAATGCGCCTTTGCACATTACTTTTTTTTAAGTTTGACAATTATTCTATCATTTTTTTTTGCTCTAGGAAGTTACTTTTTCATATTATACATACTGATACATTACCAGTATCTTATTATTAAAGAGTAAAAATTAGATTGATATATTACGCAAAAAAGAGATATCTGTACCTGTCTTTATATACTACAGTCTACAGGTTACTTCTGCTGTCTAAAATGGGGGGTGGTAGAAAAATGTTTGATTTTAAGAATCTCAAGCGTGTAGAGGAAAATGTTATTTTTTTAATTATTGGGGAGGGATTTTATGTTGTATGTTTGTTACATTTCTTTAAAAAATAATTCTTTTACAAAATTTCATTAACATTAAATAAACAAATTTAACCTGTCACTCATTTGCAATATCAAATTGATATACAGCGCCTGGTCTAGTTGCGAAAAGAGCGTGCCCGCAGGAAGGTTAATTTGATTTAAATTTAATGCTTTAATTTCCAGTCGAGAGAGAGACCAACACCATGACCATGGGAGTCATGGGGCAGGCACCATGGGTCTACTCTCCATCTACCGTTAATGACTAGGGGTGTGCCGGATCCGTTTTTTCCAACCGGATCCGGATTTTCTTATGCGAAATCCGCCGGATACCGGTTTCTTCCGGATTTTGGTACTATTGGTAGATACTTCGGTAAGTCAAGGTGGATTACTACTT